AGGGCGGGGACCTCAATCCCCATCCCCAACCCCGACCCCGATCAGAGATTCCTATTAATCCCCCACCTGATGGTCAGATCCCCGTCTGTGATGGGAAAAATTGCCATACCTACTTGAACTTGGTGAACCTGGTAATTAAAGAGGACTCCACGGTGGTGGTAGATTGGCTAAGAAATCCGAACTCAATGATTTGGTGGTATAGAAATGAAATGAAGAAGTTTCAGTGGTTAACATAGTAGATGAATATAAGTATATAGTGGGTGGGGAGGGAGGCTAATCCATTGGCCGATTCACTAGCTAAGCAAGGGGTAATTAGGGATCAGTTGTACTGGGCACAATTGTAATTACTGTACTAGTTATGTTCCAACAGTGAGGCTGCATCTTGTGCCTCCCTTTGGGATGCTTGTAAAGATGCCTACCATTATTGATTTCAATGAAATTAATGATCTTTTACTTATCAAAAAAAAACTCAATATTATTGTTTGAATCCTATGATTTGAATCATAAATCTTATGATTTATACGATTCTTGTGATTCAAATCAATTCAATTAAGAATTAGTTGTCTACTTTTTCATTTTATTTTGTTAATATTTAGTTTTGTCAAAGGTGACTTGTTATAAAGACCTTACTAGAAATTGACTTATTTACGTTATTTAAACCATATATTGTGTTTATTTTCCATCAAATATACGATAAAGAGTCATTGTATGTAGGTTATTTGACTTTCAAGTAAAACTTGATTATATCACCTTAGACTTCTATTGTATAAGTGGTAAATTTTATTGTTTAGGTACAAACATGGTAGATAATGGATTAAAAACAAGGTAGAATCACTTTTCTATATTTATTTTTTCTTTTAGCATATCTATATTTTATTTTTAACAAGTTTTTAAAAATAGAAATAATCTTGCAATTTATGATATGATTCACAATTTTACTCAATTCGATTTTCTCTACGATTTACTATACAATTACGATTTTCAGAACATTGATTAGGAGTATCCAATTGTTAGGAGAGCACTTCTAAATCAATCAAACCAATTGTTTCAGATCATAGATAGATTTTTTTAGCTTACAAACCTTGCCTTCACTTTTTGGAATAATTACACCAAGAGGGAGATCCATATACACTCCTCTTGCAAGTCACCATTTAGAAAAGCATTCTTAGCATCCATATGATATAGTGGCCAAGAAGAGAAATGAGCAGCAAGAGATATCAAAACCTAGATAGTATTCATCTGGAAACTAGAGCAAAAGTCTCAAGATAATCAATACATGGTTTTGAATATATCCCTTAGCTACTAGTCAAGCTTTGTATCTCTCAATAGAACCATGAGCATCAATTTCAAGGCGCCAAGGAAAGGCTAGGCAACAGGGGGAAGCCATGTCACCTAGTCACTTAGGCAAATGCCTAGGCATCACCTAGGTGATGGATCTTTTTAAGTAAACAACATATATCCTACGGTAAACTTCATGTTAAAGAATAGACAACCATAATATTCATAAGAAAAAGAAGAAAGAAAAGAAAATTCAAAATATGGGGATTGAAAAAGTGGATAATTATTAAGGAAATATGGTTTAATAATGTCTATTTTATAATTATAAAATCAAACAATTAAGAATATAGAAGTATTTTATAACACAGTGTACAAAACAACTTGACAATTAGGCGAGGTGAGTCTCCAAGGGCACCTTGTCGCCTAGATGCCGCCTTGACAACAATGACAATGAGCATTATACTTTACAACGTATACCCACTTACATCCAACTGATTGCTTTCCCTGTGGAAGCCCAACTAACTGCCAAGTTTGATTCTTTTCCAACTAAATACAGAATTCCTTCTATTAAAAGTATACAAAATGCTCGAGTCTCAAGACCCGATCCATGAAAAAACCGCTAGAATCACTACAAAATCTAGAAAGATCCTTATTTTTCCCTTAGAAATACAAAACTCCTTTTTGTAACCAAGAATTGCTAAACAAAGAATTGAAGAATTCCCAAACAGGTATAGAAGAAACAAGCTATCTATAGATTCCTCCCATCACTTTTATATGCATTTCTGGTTTGGAATGGCAATTCCTTTTATTCAGATGGTCCACTACAAGAACCTCATGTAGAGATCTACTGCATTAAAGCATCAAACCCTGCATCAATAGAGTCACATATTCCCCTAGCCAGGGCCACATAGAACGGACAGAGAACTTCTCATCATAATCCACCTCTCAAGCCAACTCATCCCTACTATCAGGGAAGATAAAGAATGAATCAATCTCTATCATCAAATAAAGGAATTCACTAAACACCTTTTCTTAGTTGCAAATAAATCAATTCACTTTTACAACTAAAAACTTAGTCCCTCTCACAAACAAGAATCCTAAAACATTCATTAAGGTGTTGCATATATCTGGAACTAGAGGTGAAAAGGTGAGAGGCACTTGCATTTTAATGGCCGCTATTGGAGTTTCTTGGAACATTTTGTCTTTGTTTTTTTTCTCTTTCTTTTTTTGCTGGATTTTTCTTATGTTCAACTTGCACACTTTCTTTTCTCTTAAATAAAATTCTACCGTCAATGAAGAAAAAGCAGTGACCACAAAAGGCAAGGTCCCTTTGGAGAAGATCTCAAGACCGGTCTAGAATCCTTGCTCTGGTATTTGCTTATAGCTTACAGTTCATGTTCCAAGTATCATCTTCCTCTTGTAGCCTACTCAGTATGAGGCATTGAGGTATCCTTTACAATGATGTGTTCCTTATTGATAAAAAAGAATAATGAAACAACTCTTAAGGAGAATCTCCAAAAGCATGGAAAAAAGGCCCAAGCTCCAGATTTTTGTTTACATCATGGGATTGGCTAAGAACTTATCATCGGAAATAATAAGAAACTAAGAGGTGGTTGATAGAAAATTAGAGCAAATACCTTTACATAGAGCTCCCTCAAGAGATTCTGCAAGGGGGACAATATGCTTCATAAAAAATCCTACAGATTTACCAACAACATATCTCTTCAAAATTGGAACCAACCAAATGTTTAAACAAGTTAACTTTTCAGGATGAAATGTTAAGGGTATCAGTGTCAGTAAATTCTCTGGCCCCATTGCAATAACGGCAGACCCGATGCATTCTTGAAGCTGCAGGCAATAATAAAATGATATTATCAATAATTCAAAGCAAACAAATTAATTTAGCATTACACATTTAGATAAATAGGTAAAGCATATTCACCCCCAGAAATATCAATCAAATTAGAACCCAGAAAAATGAAAGCAAAGAGCTCTCTCAATGCAGGTTCACCCTACCCTCATAAGTATAACCAACAGAAGCTCCTAACAACTCATCATCATCATGAATTTTACAAAAGATCCCTCACAAGATTATGCAAGGAGAAAATATGCTTCACATAAAATCTTAAAGATATGCCAACAACATAACTCCTCAACACTGGTACCAAACAAATATTTATACAAGTGAATTTTTCAGAATAAAATATTATGGGTATCAATGTCAGTAACTTCTCTGGTCCCACTGCAATGACAGCAGACCCAATGCATTCTAGCCTTCCTACTCATCCATGTCAACATTCACATTTCTGTCACACCCAAGTGATATTCTCCTATCACATAAGACACTGGATGAACCTTTCCATTATGCCCATCCTGCTTTGATCCTGTTGATGACATCATCCTTAATCTTTCCCCTGTTGGGGGCAATTGAACCAATAAATTGTCATTGATGATAATCAAATGACTTTTTACAGTATATGCAAAAAACAACTAGTCTTCTACAGGAAGTCCAGTAGGCGATTCTGAAACATTAATGGATGCATTTCCACTTTTTTTCTTTTGAAAAAAAAAAGGCAACTTCATTTTTTCGACAAGTCAACAGTAAATGGACATGGAGGATCATATCCTAGTGAAGAAGCTACAGCTGTTGAAAGAGAAAATCCTAGACTGGAAGAAAAACAGTTTGAAGGCAGTAGAATTAAAGAAAGGAGAGTTGTTAAGCACCATTGAAGAGCTGGATAGGAAAGAAGAGCTTGTGAACCTATCTGAAGAAGAGAAGGCAGCTAGGACTGAGGCCAAAATGTGTTTTGATAAAGTAGCTTACCAGGAAGAGATCAAGTGGAGACAACAGGCTAAAATCTCTTGGCTGAAGGTGGGGGACAGGAATACAAAGTACTTCCATGCAGTTGAGAATTGTCAAAGAAGGGAGAATACTTTGGAGAAGCTACAGGTGAGGGACAGGCTTATCGAGGATCAATCCTCTATTAAGGAGGTGGTGAAATTCTTAAAAATTTATATAAGTTAGTGTGGCCGGTCCGTCCGGGTTTGAATGGGAGCTTGTTTGAAGCCATCTCCAACATTCAAAGAGATGACCTAGAGAAACCTTTCTCAAAAGAGGAAGTTTGGGGAGTTATCACAAGCCTAGAGGGAGAGAAGACCCCTGGTCATGATGGGTTCACAATGCTGTTCTTCAAGAAATGTTGGAGTTTCCTGAAGCCAGAGGTGAAGAAGGCTTTGTCGGAATTCCACGATAGAGCATCCTTAGAGCGTAGCTTAAATTCTACGTTTATAACTTTGATTCCAAAGGTTCAGTACCCTATTCGCCTCTCTGATTACAGACCCATAAGTTTGGTAGGGGGTTTCTACAAAATTCTGGCGAAAACCCTTGCCAATAGAATGAGGAAGGTACTCCCTGAGATCATTTCAGGGGTGCAGGGGGCATTCATGCCCGGTCGACTATTATTAGAAGGTGTTCTTGTTGCTAATGAGCTGGTAGACTCGAAGTTAAGGAGTGGCAGCAATGGGGTGGTATGCAAAATTGTTTTAGAAAAGGCATACGATCATGTAAACTGGAGGTTTCTCGACTTGGTGCTGCAGAAAATGAACTTTGGCCAGAAATGGAACAATTGGGTCAGAGTGTGCATATCTACTGCTAAGTTTTCTATACTTGTGAATGGGTCATCTTCTGGCTCTTTTAGAAGTTCGAGCGGTCTTTGACAGGGAGACCCTCTTTCTCCCTTGCTGTTTATTTGTGTGGTGGAGGCTCTAGCTAGATTAACTAAAAGAGCTGCGGCTGAAGGTTGTTTGGAAGGTTTTAGAGTGGCAGAGGAAGGAACCGAGGTCCCTTTACTGCAGTATGCAGATGATACTTTATTCTTTGTTCAGGCAAAAAAGGAGCAGTTAAGTAATCTTCAGATGATTCTGGTGTGGTTCGAGGTGATTTCAGGATTACGGGTGAATTTCCAGAAAAGTGAAATTATCCCAGTTGGGGAGGTCAACAACATCCAGGAACTTGCTATGGAGCTTGGTTGTAAAGTGGGAAAACTCCCTTTCAGGTTCCTGGGCCTTCCAGTTGGAGCAAAATGTCACACCAAGTCCATGTGGGACCCGGTGATTGAAAGACTAGAGAAGAAGCTGGGGGGTTGGAAGTCCAGGTATTTGTCCAAGGGAGCTAAGATTACTCTGTTGAAAAGTGTCCTAGCTAATCTACCTATTCACTTTTTACCTTTGTATCCAATCCCAACACAGGTGGCTGAAAGGATGGAAAAGTTAGAAAGGAATTTCCTCTGGTGTGGGAAGGATGGTGAACAGAAGATTCACCAGGTTAAGTGGGAAACCATCTGCAAACCTGTCTCAAAAGGGGGTTTAGGAGTGAGAAACTTTAGGCAGGTGAATACTGCTCTCCTAGGTAGATGGCTCTGGCTCTTTAAGTCTAATCCCTGGGCTCTCTAGAGGCGGCGAATTGTGGAAAAGTTTGGAACTAGAAACTATGGATGAGACCACCTACACCCACTTCTGCTGGTTGCTCAGTTTGGAAAGGAATTGAGAAGGTTTATCCTCTTTTTGTCCAAGGGATTAGGCTAAAATTAGGGGATGGCAACAGGACTAGTTTCTGGCGAGACACCTGGTGCAATGGTTCTTCTCTAATGGAGACTATGCCTTCTCTATTCCTTATAGCAGAAGACAGAGATGTGATGGTGGCAGATCAGTTTGAGTGGCATGGAGACTATGCCTTCATTGTGAGGTTGCCCATCTGCTGTTCAATCATTTCTGCTCCCTGTTAAATGTTAGGTGGTGCTGCACCATATCTATAGCTGACCTGCTTTTCTCTTGGAAGTTGACGGGCTTAAGCAGCAGGGGTAAGGTGCTGTGGTATACGATCCCTCATGTAGTGTGCTAGGTCCTGTGGAAAGAAATAAATAGTAGGATTTTTGAAGGTCAAAGGTGCTCCATAGATGAGTTGGTGGTTCGGGCAATGGCTACTATACATTCCTGGCTGTCAGCCAAGGACTCTTTTAAGCATTCCTGGCTGTGGTCTGGGTTTTTTGTTTACTTGATTTAGTTGGGGGTCTCTTGTATTTCCAGAGAGACCAGTTTTTGTTGGCTTTTTGTATAGTTTCTGGCTGTACATGGAGTTTTTGTGGACCAAATGGTGTTATGTTTTACAGTTATACTCATTAAAACAATTACCTTACTTTTTCTCAAAAAAAAAAAAGGATCAAAAGAGAAGGGAGGGGGAATATACATGAAGGATGTACAATAAAACCAAAAAAAAAAAAACAGTCCATCTACAACATTAATGAGTTTTCACTACACACAAAAAAAAAATATGTATCCACCCCCGATTTAGAGAGTGAGTCAGCCAAAGAATTCAACTCCCTTGGAATCTATCAAAAAGAGCAAAAAACATCTACAGGTATCTCCTAAACCACATTTAGCAGATGAGCAAGTCTCCAAGGGTCCCCATCATTTGTAGGCCCAGCCAATCACCTTCCATAAGGGCTCTAGTTTCTGCTTCTGAGGCATCAGCAAAGCCTATAGGCCCCACTAAAAGCCCATATATGATTGCCTCTAGCATCCGTAACATGCCCCCCGATCCTAGCATGCCTTCTGTGGCCATCAATACCTCTGCAATTGCTATCAAACTTCAGATAAACACTAGTAGGTCATGAATCAGCATTATTCTGTACAGTTGTCAACACTATATGTAAGCATGGTTGTGAGCTACTTTTGCTTGTTTTGTAATAAAATAAAATTTATTAAAAGAAAAAAGCAAAGATTACAAGAAAAGTGAAACCAACAAGAAAGAAACAAGAATCAATATACTCCACCACTGAAACAATCAACAGCCCACCACCCCTAAGTTAAACAAGCAGAATTCCAAACTACAATCTCACAACAAACTAAACCCCATATGAGAGACCAAAGAACAACGAGACCCAACCCAATACAAGCCAACAGTCCAATCCCGAGATGAACCGAACATGATCAGATGCTCCCTACTTTGCTAATATTGCCCACCAATTCTTTTTAAAATTTTGGTCAAGGTTTGATTTGATGCAGCTCCCCAATAAGCAATTGTTAGAAAATACATAGATTGTACTGCCAGAACATAAACTTGCTTCTTGACCATATCCATAAACACAAACAGTTTGGGGATTGAGTAGTGAGGGCAAGGCATGGATTCATGTGGTAAAGATGGAAATGCAAAGAGAAAGGCTTTCTATGCAAATGCTTAGTAGGGAGAAATGTTTAGGGCACAGTAGTAAGAAAGTTAAAAGAAAACCCAATGGGTGGAGATAAGACTCCTTATCTCTAAACTTCTTTGCTGGGAAGTGATTTTGGAGATTTGGGGAGAGTCGAGGAGGGCTTTGGAAAAGGGTGGTGCAGACTAAGTATGGTTTAGGGTTTAGGGTTTTAGGGTTTAGATCCAAGGCACCTGAACCAAATTGATTTACAATGGCATTTTACCAAGATTGTTGGGAAGTACTGAAGGATGCTTTGTTTGAGGTTTTTAAAGAATTTGCAAACAATCACATAGTGAGCAGGGGTGTCAACGCCACTTTCGTGGCCTTAGTCCCTAAGAAACCTGATGCTAGTCATTCGAAGGATTTTAGACCAATTAGCTTAGTGACGAGCATCCAAAAAATTGTAGCTAAGGTTCTATCTCTGAGGCTTAAAGAAGCTATCCCCTCCTTAGTCAGCCAAGCCCAAGGGGCCTTTGTACAAGGAAGACAAATAATTGACCAAATATTGAGTGCTAATGGAAATGTGGAGGATTTGCAGAGATCAGATGGAAAAAGGCTTTGTGTGTAAGTTGGATATTGAAAAGGCTTATCGCATGGTGG